CACGAAAACAACAGCAAATTGTTCCACAAAAATGGGCTGCCATGGGGGCTGAGGCCCACAGTCCTCAGAAACAAAGAGGAGACAGTTATGGAGAAGGAATATGGCGTCATGTTGTCAGGGATGGCCCCAGAACACAGTAACTAGTAACTTCACCTGAATTTGTTCCCGGCCCTTTCCACTTAGTCCACTTGCAAAGAGTCACTCTTTGAAGAATTCTTTGTAAATATTCCACAAGTGCTGAATTTACATGTTGTTTAAACTTTGTGAAACAATCAAAAACACAATTTCAAAAAAAAAGAAAAAACTGAAGGAGAAACCATCCCAATCTTATTCACATATTTATAAGAAATTATTTTTCTCTTTCAATATTTAAAAAATAAGAGAAGGCCGAGATGCAAATGCTAGATAAGGCTGAAGTGGAATTAAAACTGAGCAATTCTCAGCAATGTGGCAAATAGAATTCCTTACAAAAAATACATCTATGGTAAAATGACCTTTGCAAACTGCCCTTCTCTTCTGACAATTCCATAGTCTCTTACCAGGGAAACACACTGGACTTCCATGGGCTTTACCCAGAACACATCGGAAATTAATTGGGATATTAACTTTTGAATAGGCATGCACACAGTCCTGTTTCCGATTCTGCATCAGTTCACTATGTACTGTGAGGAAAAACCCAGAACTGAGTTTCAACTCTATTTCAGGGAGGAGAAAAGGGCCAGCCAGGAGAGAGGAGCTTCTTGCTGTTTTGTAACACCTGAATAAATCAACTTACACACAATAAGTGTCTGCTACTTTGCATGAAAAGAGCTCATTCTGACTCCAGAAACTTCTTCAAGAGTATTGTAGTTCTTTGGGTATAAAATCTGGAGGAACTGATAACGGGAGTGAAGGTTGTGATGATGATCTGGGACGGCTTTCCTTCTAAATTCTGTAGCCGTGAGTCTCCTGTCCTCAGAACAACAACATCAAGTCCTGCATAATATCATTGTGTCCTGTCCACAACTCTGTTGGAAGGAAGAATAAAAGAGAAGAAGGGAAGGAGAGAATTAAAAAGAAGGGAGGGATGATGTTATGTTCAACATAAAAAAAAAAATTATTATTTGCATTTAATCACTATACATCTTTAAAGGGGATAACATGGTTTATTCCCATCATGGATACAATGCTTATTTGTCAGGACAAAAATGTAATGTACCATATACATTATCATCAGCAAATAACTTCATTTTGTGTCAATTGAACATATTTTTTTTTGGCCTTGTTCCCCTCCCCCCTACCCATTCCCATTCCCCCTCTCTTAGTATCTCTAGTATCTACAGTTGTTTCCCTTGCTATTATGCCTTCCAACCTTTCAGTTTCTGCTACATAGGGCAGACACTGGGTACATATTGAACAGGGACATATAAAGTCTGTGGTTCATACTCTGGCTTGCTTTGCTTAGCATTAAGTCTTTTTACATGGCCAATATGGACCCCAGAGCTGTGGTGACGACGAGATACAATTCTAAATTCTTTAGACCTTTATTCATGCTGGTCTCCGCTGGGAGCAATCTTGCCACAGTTCTCTGCACACACTGAGCTTAACCTGACATCCTCTGCCCGATTGCCCTTCCTCCTGTCTCTCTGAGTCCCACCCATTTTTCAGGTCCAGTGCCATGTCTCCTTCCATTGGTCTTTCCAACCACCCTGATCTCTTCTTACTTCTCTCTTCCATATACTTAGAGTTGGTTTAGGAAAGAAACTCACCTGAGTTTTGACTTCTGTGAGTTTGTATAACTTACTTAAAAATCAATGAACAGGGTATTTTTGTTACATCCTGTGTCTGGTTTACTAGGATCGTGAGTGGTCTTCAGCACAGAAAGCTTCTTTCCATGTCCTTCCAATGTTTCTTGGAGCTCTGGATCTATAGATGCTCTACAAATGCCTGCTTGATGAACTTTTGGATTAATCACTAAGTGGGCCAGAGAGTGAATGCACTGACATGACTGTTGTAGACAAAAATATAAGCACGAAAAAAAGGAAAGTCAAGCAATAGAACAAAGTACTTGGTCTAAAAAACTTCATTGGATCAGCCCTAACTCCCACTGAGTTCTCAGCTTTCTTTACAGCTTCTCTGTTGTTTTGAAATAGTCAAGGCAAAGAAAGTGAGATAAAACTTAAAATAATGAATACTTTCACAGATACATATTCCCTACATTCCTTCCAGGACAATGAAAAGCCATGGGAGGCAGACCTGAAATAAGTTTTCCTTCCCAGAGCTAAAGGGAATAACAATCATTGGACATCTTTCTTCAATCAAGTCTACATTTCCAGTAATGAGGAAGCTCAAATAACTCCATTTCCTGTTTATAAAACTTCTTGGTTAGTAGATGTGGGGGAAAAATATCCATCTTGCTGGCCCTCCCGTAAAGGGATTCCCTATTCACCAACGTCCTTTCATTTGGAAATGACCATAGGTCACCCATATGACTATAGGTTACCCATAACTGAATTGAGGCAAACCTCATGTTTTCTTGACGTCCTGCATTTCCACACAGGAAGAAACATTGCTCACCTAATGCCTCACTTTGTCTCATTCCTCAGACTTTCAGAAAGCCTACTTGAAAATTTGACACAGGGTGCCAGATGGTGGCACAGTCATGAAATGAGATGTTCTGCTAGGCAATCCCATTGGGAGGTTCCGATTCTAACCTGGAGACCTCCCTAAGTATGCCGGGGTCACATGTGCCTGTGATCTGAAGCTGGCTGAAGGTTGGAGCTGGATTGCAGAATTAAGACCTTTCTGGGGGTGCCATCTGTATGTCTTTATGTGTTTCTCTGTCTCTTGCTCATGGAAGAAAGAAACATTTTTTAAAATGACATAGTATCTACCTGCATAATTCCTGGATTCAGAATGATGCCATTTTATTTTAAGTTTACCTATTTCCTGAGAGAGAGAGAGAGAGAGAAGTACCCCCAACAGGGTCTTCATGCCGTGATCCCACCCTCAGCCTCGTGGGCACTGAGATGTGCCCGGTGTGCTCAGGAAGACCTCAGGATGCAAATCCAAGCCCTTCTCATATGGTCTTAGCATCCTGGAGAAGTATTGATATCTGTAGCCATTGTGCTACCATGACCGGCCAAAAAACTTCTTTTTCTTTCTTTTTTTTTTCTCTAAAATTTATTAAGAGAGAGAGAAACTCTACAGGGTCCTCACACTACAATCCTCTCTCCAGCCCTGCAGCCAGCCAGACTCACAGGTGTAACAATGTGTTTGGGCAGACCCAGGAAGCAAACCCAAGGCCTCCTCCGTGGTCTCCACCATCACTCTATAGCGCCCCTACTGCTTGCACTGCCTCAGCTGGACCAGACTGGTTGTTTTCTAAAGCAGGCCTGACTAAGTTGGTGCCTTTTAGAGATCTCTTCTGTTATACACTAAGCCGAAATTAATGACCATTTACATGGTATTCATTTGCATCTTCAGCTGGCAGATGCTAACGCTATGCACTTGATCAAGTCATGTTCTTGCTCTCCCACCACAGGGCAGAGATCGTGTCAGCGAAAGCTGGCACTGTGAGTGCTGACTCCATCATTTACTGCAAGGGACAGCATGCATTTCGCCTCTGGTAATCTGCTAGGACAGGAATTTTAGAACCTGCGTATCTCTGCTTTCTGTGCCCAGATGTGGATGATACTTGCCAGTAATACACATTTTAAAGAATCTGTCTTATCTGTTTGTTCTGCAATTTTTTAAAATGACATAGTATCTACCTGCATAATTCCTGGATTCAGAATGATGCCATTTTATTTTAAGTTTACCTATTTCCTGAGAGAGAGAGAGAGAGAGAAGTACCCCCAACAGGGTCTTCATGCCGTGATCCCACCCTCAGCCTCGTGGGCACTGAGATGTGCCCGGTGTGCTCAGGAAGACCTCAGGATGCAAATCCAAGCCCTTCTCATATGGTCTTAGCATCCTGGAGAAGTATTGATTTCTTTTAGCCATTGTGCTACCATGACCGGCCAAAAAACTTCTTTTTCTTTCTTTTTTTTTTCTCTAAAATTTATTAAGAGAGAGAGAAACTCTACAGGGTCCTCACACTACAATCCTCTCTCCAGCCCTGCAGCCAGCCAGACTCACAGGTGTAACAATGTGTTTGGGCAGACCCAGGAAGCAAACCCAAGGCCTCCTCCGTGGTCTCCACCATCACTCTATAGCGCCCCTACTGCTTGCACTGCCTCAGCTGGACCAGACTGGTTGTTTTCTAAAGCAGGCCTGACTAAGTTGGTGCCTTTTAGAGATCTCTTCTGTTATACACTAAGCCGAAATTAATGACCATTTACATGGTATTCATTTGCATCTTCAGCTGGCAGATGCTAACGCTATGCACTTGATCAAGTCATGTTCTTGCTCTCCCACCACAGGGCAGAGATCGTGTCAGCGAAAGCTGGCACTGTGAGTGCTGACTCCATCATTTACTGCAAGGGACAGCATGCATTTCGCCTCTGGTAATCTGCTAGGACAGGAATTTTAGAACCTGCGTATCTCTGCTTTCTGTGCCCAGATGTGGATGATACTTGCCAGTAATACACATTTTAAAGAATCTGTCTTATCTGTTTGTTCTGCAATAATTGTATGCTTGCACTATGCTTGTGTCACCATGCTCTCTCTCTGCATATGTAAAAACATCTCTGAACTATTCAAGGGTAAGTTGCAAAGATAATTTTCTATTACTTTTGGGTACATTTCTGAAAAACGAGGACATTTTCTTATTTAAAAAAAAACTGAGTGCAATGTTCACAATCAGGAAATTTATGTTACTATAGAAATATATATTCTGTCAGCCTACTCTACAGACTTTAGGCAAGTTTTGTCCTCTCTTGTCCAGCATTCAACTCAGGAATCATGTTGCGTTTAGTTTTCTTGTCTCTTTATTCTCTAGAAATTAAAAATAATTCTTCATTCTTTCTTTGTCTTTCATGATCCTTATTTTTTGAAGGGTAATGGCCTTTTATCTTGCATAATATTACTCAGTTTAAGATTTTTTTTAAAAAGTTTACACAGTTATTTCCTGAGAGACAAGAGAAAGAGAAAACTCCTAACAGGATCCTGATCCACTCCCATCCTCAGACAGCTCAGGTCATGGGCACAGGCATGCCCTGCATACTCAGGGTGGTCTCCAGACTTGAACCAGGAACCTTCACTTGTGGGATTCCCTCACAGAATGGTGCAATTTACTACTGCCCCTCAGTTTGGGTTTTTTAAGCCTCTTAAGATTTACAAAATGCATTTGTATCTGGAACACCACAGAGGTAGTGCTGTTTTCCTGAGTGCCTCATTCAGGAGGCCAATGGTATGTTTATCTAATGGGAATGTTAACTTTGCTCACTTTTTAAGGTTTCACATTAAATTCTCCCCACTAACTTCGGCATTCTTTGGTGATTCGTGGTTATAACAATTATCACTATGGTAGCTGTCAAGGGATGCTTTTCTGAATACGTCATGCCATTCACATGCATCATTGCCATTCTATTGCAAAGAAGGACTTCTGCTCTTATTTGCTCACTTATGATCTCATATTTATATTCAACCTGGTCTTATTTTATAGGTTAAAAACAAATTGTTATTTATTTTGATGCCCAAATCGCCTCACATTTGGCCAGCAGAGACCTGTTCAATGGGTTCCAATGTGTTTTCGACATATCCTGTTATCCTTTGAGCACTTTCATACTCTGAGGAATAAAAAAAGCATTTTAGGATTGTCTTGCACATGTCCAGTTCCAGCTTTAGAACCGCTGATTTCTACAAGAATATCTAATTCTTTTAATTGGGAAGTAACACTTAAACGTCAAGCTCTAGGGCTAAACGTAGTAGTTCCAATGATGGCATCACTATTTCAAGACGCTCTCAGTGGACAGTTAAGAAAAATGTGTATGTGCATGTAAATAAATACATGCACAAATTTACATTTATATTCATTGAAACTCTATGCATAAATTCTCAATTCCAATTCGACACCTGAGTTTTCAAAATGAAAGGCTTACAGACCTTCAAGCAAGATAAATAAAACAAACATATCTTAAAGTCCTTTTTAATCCACATTTAGAAACATTTCAACACACCATGTAGAAAAAAATTCCAAACTCGGATTTGATAAAACTATTTGAAAAATGGGAATTAAATTGGGCTCAAGAAAACATGAAACTATTAAAAAAAAAAACACACATAAAATTGAGTTTTTAATTCTGTACTCAAAAAGAGCTATATTTTTAAGGCTAATAATATAACTAAGTCCTTGGCTGCTGAAATCAGGAGAGAGAAGTATTAATCATAAATAAAAGAGAACTTTTCATGAACCTTGAAAAACTATTTCTAAAAATGAAGCAAAAGAGAAATGCGCAAGAATAACCAAGAAAACTTTGAAAGTGAAAACAAACAGACAATTCTTGTCCTAGAAAACATCATGATAAAAGTTTCAAATTTCAAAGCTGTGTAGTACTAGAACAAATAAACACAATAGAACAATAGAACAAATCAAAGCCCCAAACTAGAGCCCATACACACAAGGGAACTTCTTATATATATTAGTGTATATATTGGGACCAGCCGTTAGCGTAATGGCTGTGTCGCTGAACTCCCATGTAATCGACTGTGGTTCAAGTCCTGGACCCGGTAGCTTAAACTCACACTGGGCACGTGTGCATGTGAGCCCAAGATCCCAAGAGGAGAATGGAGGAGAAGGGATTGTGGCGTGGCCATCCCCATTGGGAGGTGATTTCTCGCTTTTTGTCTCTCTGTCTCTCTCTGTCTTTCTGGCGAGCACATGCGTCCTATAGTAAAAACCTTTCTCTCTCTCTCTCTCTATATATATATATATACACACACACACACACACACATATATGTGTATATATAGAGAGAGTATATATAATGAGTATACGTATGTAAAACATACATGTATATATATATATGCATAAATAGCAAGTATGCTTTTCTATTGAAGAGACATTCAACACAAATGACATTAGAAAAACTGGATACACATTTTTAAAAATTTAAGTATTATGTAGTTTTCAACATTCATAAAAATAAATTTCATTTGAATTGTAGACCTACATGCAAAAAGCTCTACAAATATGAGAAGAAATATGGAATAATATATTTCCTAACATTAAGATATGGTTGCTATTCTTAAACTGGACATATAAAATAATTGACATAGTAGGAAACACTGAAAATATTTAGTTCAATAAACTTGAAAATTTTAAGGGAAAATACAAGATAAAAATATACTATAGGGCATAGACTAGAAATACTGGCTTCAATAACTATAACAAAATGATTTTCTCACAAATCAATACAGAAAAGGCAAATAAACACAGCTCAAACAACCCATGGAAAAATTAGCAATAATATGAAGGAGAAATTGAGGAGAAAAAAGAATAAATGGGCATTAAGCATATAAAAAATAAAATTGTTTACTCTCTCTAGTGATCAAAAAAATGAAAATGAAAATGAACCCTTTTCTGCCAATGGACTAGCAACATTTTGAGTTAGATAGTAGAAAACATTGACTAACATGTAGAAACTAGTTTCCATAGGTGGGAATATAAATTAGTATGGCCATTTTTATTTAAAATTTAACAATGTATATTTTTAAACGGGCATACCTTATGTCTCAGCACTTCTACTTTCACTATCTACTCTGGAAAATCACTTGCAATATTCAAAACAATGCATACAGTGATATTAACTGCAGATTTATTTATGTTAAAGAAATACTGGAAATATCCTAGGTGCCTATCTATACAAGAATTACTATCAAATACTATGAAATTATTGTCATGTATATATCCCTAAGGCATATTGTTTGGTGAATTTTTTTTTCTCAGAATGAAATATAGATTACTCTTTACTTGGAAAAAGAACACCTAATAAATACAAGTTCTATGGTATAAACAGATGCATGTGAATATATAGAAAAAGGATTTGAATGCACTTCACACAGTTTTAAAGCATCTGAGTAAGGTAATGCAACAATAAGGATTCTCCCATGTGTGTAGCACCTAATAACTCTTTCAATTGGATAGAAAAAACCCAGGTAAACAGGAGACTAAATGTGTGGCTCTACTACCAAATGGCAATGTGGCTGCAGTTAAGGGGAGAGAGAAGGAGTGAGAGAGAGAATGGGGGTGATGAGAAGGATGGAAATGAGAGAGCAATGCAATAGCACAAACACTCCCCAGGAGAAGACTACAGACCTAATCGAAGAGTATTCCACACTCCTAAGACAAGGGGCACTCTAAGCTCGTGTCCATTGGAATTTGGGAATTCTACAAACCTCTGCTGCCTGTCCATCCTCCATCCTTCTCGTCTCTGAAAAGAAGTGCTTATTGGGATTTCCTTTCCTTTGTCTAATACTGGAGGCCAGCCATCTATGTTGGGAGGACTCAGCTGTGGTCTTAGGCTTTGAGTTCACTGCTGTGACTGGGCTTTTGGCTGGATTCCTGATGGGAAGGATAAAGGCATTTATATATGGAGAGGAGGAAGAACACACCATTGAAGAGAGAACTGTGATTCATCATTATGGATGCTCACAAGTATTGAATTTCTCTTTGTTCCAGGCACATAGTAGAAGTAAGTTTTCTGCCCTGCTTTTGCAGTTAAATCAGGCAAAGAGATGTAAAGCAGAAGGCATCCGTGACTTCCCTGGTGCAAGCCCTATGAGATGGTGCACTGTGTCTGTACAATTCTTGTCCTACCATCATACTGCCTTTGTTCTGAATGGCAGCTGCCCCCTCAGCCTTTGCCCTGGAGTGGAGGATGAGGCAAGGCAAAACCTGAGCTGTCCCTCAGCAGGACCCAATGGGGGGAAAAAATAAACCTTGCCGTGTATAACCCACTGAGATTTCAGTATTGTTTGTTAATGCCCTACTATCTGACCTACCCTACTGTCATTAGAGATAACATACTTTTAAAATAAAAATGGGGATTGGCCCTGTAGCACAGTGGTTAAGCCCAGTGTATAGGGAGACGGTTCCACATGGCTGACAGCTGTTCCAGTCCTGGTCTCAAGGGTTCGCAAATCATGCCAGACCTGTGTGTGCATGTGCATGTCCCACATTCTGACAGGATGAAGAAATGGAAGTGTAAAGAATGCAGCATTCCCATGCCACATGGGAAGGTGTTTTCTCCCTCTTCCTTTCTCTCTGCCTCTCTGTCTCTCCCTGCCAAGTGCACATACCCTCTGGCAATTAAAATAAAATCAAATAAATGCAATTAAATATCTGTATAGTTGCATTTTTCATGAAAGAAGATCAGGGGGATGTCTAGAAGTGAATTAGAAGAAAACATAGCTGAATTCTCTCTGAGCGAATTGAATAGGGAGAGAATCAACAAGAGGGAACTTAGTCCCACTTGCCTTGTGAAATCTCACTTTGATCCAAACATAACTGATTTAGCCCTCAGTACAGCAGGTCATGAAAAGAAGGCTTCCTGTAACCCACTGAGTGGGGGAAATGGGAAAGCAAAACACCAGCCAACTCTCAAAATAGTAAGGGTTAGGTTCTTGGTGTAGTTCTGATTGAATAGCCCTTTGTGGTTAAAAATGAGAAAGGGGAATACTCTCCTTTCTTAGTGTCATTAAAAACATCCAGGCTACAGGAGGGAATCAGTCCTGTTTATCCTCATCTTTCTCAGTGAGATTGTCGATAAGTAATGATTACGTGGAAACACAAGTGAATTAATGGACAATTGAATGAAATCTACAATGGTTTGAGCTAAAGACACGTGGTTTTTGGTAGGTTCAATTCGTGTTTTGGTAGGCAGGTAGAGGAGGAACTAATATAATGTTCCTTTTATATATGCATGCACATGAAGTTCGTTATTTCCAAAGTCTATTGGCTCCATCATTTACATATCCCCAATTGGCTGCTGTTCTCCAACTCCAGTGGCTTAATTTGGGTTCTCGTTACCTCTTGCCTAGACTACCTCCATCGCCTTATAATTGGACTACAAATCTTCGTCTTCACCCTGCAATTTGTCTCCACACACCCCTCTGAATATAAAGCAGACTATGCTTCTTGTGTACATGAAAAATGCTAGGCTTCAGTTGGAACAGAATCCAATTCAACTCCTTAGCAAGTTAAACAAAACCTTATCTGACTGCATTGACATTTTCCAAGGAAATTTTAGCTCATGTTTTACCAAGCACTAAATTCTTTGCTCCACTTGGCTCATTGTCTCCTTCCCAACATGTCATAAACATGTGTGAGCTGTTTCCCTGGATGGGCTTTTCCTCTAGCACAGACCTATCCCTCTGCCAGAGGATCATCTACATAGAAGGTGACATATCTTGTCACTGCTACTATTTCGAAGTGTCCACCATGTACCAGGCACTGTGCTAAACATCGTATATATTATTTCATTTAATTCTCACAGCCTTCTGAAATAAATGTCACTAGGTCAACTGGACAGTGAGGAAACCAAAGTTGAAAATAAAAATAAACTTGCCTAATTTTACAGCTAATAGATTTGATTGAGAGCTGAAGTGGATCCTAGGCTTGTAGGACTCCAAAATCCATTAACTGTGGTTCCACCTTGGAGCAAACTCAAATGGGCCTTTTGAGCCTGGGGAGAAAATTATTATCCACCAATTTCGCCCAAAATTCTCTTACAGAACTTACCACGTTATAGTTATTGATCACACACACTGTCTTTAATTTAGATTATGAGTACTTGAAGTTTAGCTCACATATCTTATTCAACTTTTAATTTTCTTTGTATATTTGTTTATTTAAATTTGCTATAGGGCTGCGAGCTCACCAGAGAGAAGCCGAGAGGGAGACAGGGAAAGTAAACAACTACTCTCCAGGGCAGATGGCCATACCATGGTCCCCTCTCCTCCAGTCTCCTGGGCTTGCACTCAGCATGTTTTCTAAGTCACTGGATCCAGGATTCTAACTGTGCCATCAGCCATGAGGGATCCAGCTGCCTCAACAGCCACACCACTGGCCAGTCCCCTAATTTTTATTTTGGACATCTTTGTTGAGCACACTGGTTAGGCAAAAGAACTTAAATATTTGGGAAGAGAGAAGTTCTCTTAGCATGAGTGAGTGAGAGCAGAAGAGTTCTTCTGGAAAGAGAAAGAAAAAAAAAACAGAAAGTGAAAGAGGGACATAGATTATTTCAGAACAAAAATATATAAACGTCACAACATTCTAGTAGTACGAAATAACGTTTTGCAGAGATACATTTTGTATTCACAAGGGATGGAAGAAGAGTTCACAGAAATGACAACAAGGCAGAAAATTGCAGAGTTGATGAGAGCAGAACTAATTGGGCAGCTTTTTATTTGACTTTTGATTTTTGATTTTTTTTTTTTACAGTTACATCTTGGCAGAGACCATAGGCTTCACAGTTGCCATTACTAAGGCAGAGGAGATTCAGAAGAGGTTTAAATGGAAGAGATTGACAATATAATGAGCCTAAAAGAAAAAAAAAAGTTAAAATTAAGGGAATGAAGAATTTGCAGTAATACATAATAGTATATTGGTTCTGAGCAAAGATTATTTGGATAAAACCATTAGTCAAAGGGGCAATTCAAAGAACTTTAGGATGATACTAGAAGCCTCTCAAATACTTCAGAAATGCTAACCAAGGAATATTTATATAACTGGAAAAGACTTTCAAACATCTAGGAGATAGGCCAAATAGAATATTAATTAACATTAATGGTCAACATAGCAGTGCAAAAAAAGTGCCAATGCCAAACTGAGGCTCAGGCAAGAGGATCTCTGGACAATTTACTGAACAACAACGGCAACCCGATTCCATTTCAAATCCTCCTGGCTGTAAAGCAGAAGGAGAGAGCGGAGAGAACACACTTGGGCCTTGCTGGGTCGCTCCTGGGCTGCAGAATGCAGGAGGAGAGCTGCTACAGTGATGGGAGGCCTGCAGGCAGAAGCAGCAGGCTGTGCTTGAAATGGAAATGCATCTTTGTGGAATTCTAAATAGGGAGAGGGCACTCAAGGTTAGCCAAAGCTAGCCGAGGAGAGATAACAGCCAAGTGTGTGAGTAGAGAGTGAAATGCTTACTGTACAGGGAAAACAAATACGGAGACTTGCCCAGAGAGCTGTTTTAAGGCATAGTTTTCACCAATTTTCTACTCTGCTCCTGAGGAAAGTAGACCCGAGGCCTTCAGGCCCCTTCTCCTAATGTTATGCCCAGGAAATCAAGTTTGTACCAAAGGAACGAAGTCTACATGTTGTAGCTGTCCCGCCAGGCACTGTATAAATTAATATGGTTTTATTTGGTTTATCAGGGTTTAATATTAGGTTGTACATAGCTCTGTCAACCACTTTTTTCTTTACAGTTAATCGCTGCACACCTTTACAGCGTACAAAATGGTTTCTCCCAGCACAAATACAGTGCCTATCAGTCAAGTCGAAGATACTAGCACCTACGTAATCATCGACAGCAGCTTTTCATGCTTGTGTCTGTTAAATGTTTCGTCCTATCCCGGACTCCCTTTCTTTCCCCCTCCTGCACTGTCTCTAGTATCTGCAGTTGCCCTCCCTGCTATTATACCTTCCAGTCCCTCGGTTTCTGCCTCGAAGTGCAGACGTTTGATACACAGAGTACGCTCACACAGTGCCTCTTTCCCACTCTGGCTTGCTACACCTAGCAGTAAATGTTCCACGTTGTCCATTTTGTCTGTTACGGCTGAGTAGTATTCTGTAGTGTGTATGTATCGCATTGTCTCAATCCATTCATCTGTCCCCGGACATTTGGGTTGAGTCCATGTCCCAGCCATTGTGGGTAATGCTGCAATAAACATCGAAGTGCAAGTGTTTCCAATTCCGTGTTTCGTTTTCTGGTTTTGTTTTGTTTTCTTTTTTTTTTTTATCCTTTGAGTGCTGGGTTGGGTGTTTCGTTTTCTGGTTTTGTTTTCTTTTTTTTTTTTTTTTTTTTTATCCTTTGAGTGCTGGGCCGCACGGTAGTTCTATTTGTAGGTTTTGAGGAGCCTCCATATTGTGCTCCATAATAGCTGTACTAATTTAGATTCTCAGCGACAGTGTAGGAGGGTCCTGTTCTCACAACAGCCTTGCCAGCACATATTCTTTGTTTTAAATCTTAGCCATTCCGACTTGGGCTAAGTGGTATCTCATTGGTGGTTTGATTTGTATTTCCCTTATGATAAGAGATGTTGAGCATTTTTTCATATGGTTTTTGGCTGTTTGTATGTCTTCCTTGGAGAGTTGTATGTTCAGCTCATTTGCCCATTTTTAATTGGATTTTGTTTTATTTATTTATTTTTTTGTAGGTAAACTGTTTGAGTTCCTTCTTTATTCTGGTTATCAGTCTCTTGTCGAAGGCATAGTTTGCAAATATAGTCTCCTGTTCTGAGGGTTGTCTCTTCACTCCAATTGTCTCTTTTGCAGTACAGAAGTTTTTAGTCTAGCATATTCCCACTTGAACATGAAAAATAACAACAACAAGAAGAAAATAAAAGTGGAAAAACATCTCATGTTCCTGAACTGGAAGAATTAATATAATAAAAATGTCAATTCTATCCAAATTAAATGCAATGTCCAGTCCAAATTAAATGCTATACCAATCAGATTGCCAAAGATATTGTTCATAGACAGAAAAAAAATGATAAAATTTGGAATCACATGAGACCCTGTATCACTGAAGCAATATTCTGAAAAAAAAAATAATAAAGTAAGAGGCATCTCACTTTCTGACTTCAAAATGTATTACAAAGCTGTGACAATCAAAACAGCGTGGTATTGGCACATAAACAGACATATAGACCAAAAGAACAGGATAAAGAATCCTAAAATAAACCCCAAAACATACAGCCAACTAATTTTAGACAAAGGGCAAAATACAATCCCATGAGGAAAAGAAAATCTCTTCAGCCAACGGTGCTGAAAAAACTGGACCTCTATTTCTCATCATTGACAAAAATCAATTCAAAATGGATCACATGTTTTCTGTACTATGTCAATTACTAAGGTAAAGCCTCAAACTCTAAAACTACTGGTATAAAACACAAGGGAAACTCTTGGAGACATCATGTATAAAACATAAGGGAAACTCTTGGAGACATCAGAGTAAACAAAGAGTCCTTAAATAAGACCACCAAAGCACAGGAAATAATCCCCCAAATCAGTGATCAATGCTTTACCCAGGACCTATAATGTACAAAGCAAGCGATATCCCAGATGAAAATCCAGAGTTTGATCTGAATGTCTGAGAATAGACTGTTGTAGGTCAGTTTTTTATTTTATTTATTTTCTAAAGTTTATTTATTTATTCCATGAGACAGACAGAGAGATAGAGGACAGGCATCACCAATAGGGTCTCCATGTTGTATTCCACCCTAGTCTCACCTGGCCAGGATCATGGGCAGATATGTATCGAATGTCCTCAGGGAAGTTCCAGGACACAAGCCCAGGACCTTTCCCATGTGGTTCCAGTCATGTTGCTGCTATGCCACCACCTGGCCCTGTGGGTCATTTTATTACATCACTGAGCAGTAGAAAACTGAAAAAGTCAAAGCCGTGAGACCTTACTGGTTCTCAAACTCCTACAATATCATTAAAACAAACACAAACTTAAAACTGTTCTATCTTCTGACTTCGCTTCCTCCTCTTTGTCTTATTATTTAAAAATACATTCTTTGCATCTATTTTTAAAATGCAAGGGTTTAGAGGGAAAAGCAGACACACAGGTATCCACCAACCACATCTGATAAATAGAACTTTCACTGTATTTGAAAAAATAAAACATGAAACAAATCACAAAAACACTTAAAAATGTGCTCCCCTGTTCCCATTTCTCCTCCTTCTGAAATATGACCATCATTTTCAGATCGTTACATGACACCTCTGGTTTATGTATATAAGTGTACTTAAATACATGTGTTTAACATTTTTCCTCACTAGTGTTAGGTGTCCTAATGTTGCTCCTTGGTATTTTAGTGTTTATTTCACACCTTTAGGAGCTTGTGTGTCATGTCCACTGCAGTGCCACGGTGTGTGGTGTTTCAGACCTAGGGCTCTGCAGCCACACTGCCCAGGTGCAAAGCATGGTCTGTCACCACCAGCTCTGTGACTGTAAGCAAGTTCTACCTTTTCTGAAGCTCAGTTTATTCATCTGCAAAATCTCTCAGTGGCATATAGAGTGGATCCGATGAGTTAACGCATATTCCAGTCCCTGCCATGCAAGGAATGATAAACAAATATTACTAGTCATTTTTATTGTTAATGCTGCTCTTATCATATGAAATCATTTAACTTAATTTATCATGAATGAATAATTACTCCTACAACATTTGCAATCTCCAACTTCTTTTCCCAAATCGTATTTATAAAGCTCTCAGCTTCCTCATATAGCAAGCTATAGATAGATAGATAGGTAGATAGATATTCTTACACACATACATATACATACCCTTACCTGTTCAAGTCTCTTCCTGCTGTTCAGTTGGTCTTAAGACCTTTCTCTACCCCATCACCTGTCTTAATTGGTAATCTTATAATAAATCTTGAATCAGGAACATTCAAGCTTCTCTTCTTCTTCAGAATAGTCTTGGTAATTCTTGGCCCTTTATTTTTTATATTAATTTTAGTATAAAATTTAGCTAAATTCCTATAAAAACAACAATGAAAAATCCACTGTGAGGTATAAATTAAAATTACATTGGAGATTTTTTTTCAAAGTTAATATGGGCATATGTTAAAGAATCAGTTAAATAACCTTAATAACATAGTCTTCAACCAGGTTCTCTTTTTTCCTACCTAAGCCATTTTTATCAGTTATATTTTCTTACAAAATGATCTATTTTATGTAATTTTTCAAGTTTATTGGCATAACTTTTTAAATCATCACTTACTAATTTTTTCTAAAACTATTTGTGTTTCTTCCTCTCTGTCTGTCTCTCTCTAGGCTTTAACTATGTTATTAATCTTTTCAAAGAATCAGCTTTGAGTTCTGTAGAGTCTCTTTGCTTTCCTTGCTCCTTTCTTCTCCACTTTAGTATCTTTTTCCCCTTCCTTTCTTTGGGTTTACCCTAAACTTCACGACTGAGCACGGAGTTCACTCATTCTCAAATCCACAATCTTCCCTCATTTGTGCATTTCAGGCCCCAGCCTTCTGTACTACTTTACTTGCGTCTCATGAGTTTTCAAATGCAATTTTTCAGTTCTCTTACTTTTGAGAGATATTTTTGCTATAGGGCACGTGAGCTCTCCAGTTTTCTATGTATTCCAGTACCTATTCTCTGAATTCTTCTTTGACCTGTGGAGTATTCAAGTATTAAAACTTTAATGTATATAAGTCATGTGGGTGATTTGGGGATATGTTTTGTAGTATGTCATTAATGTTTTCTATGCTATGTCAAATTCTAAGCCATCTTTAACCATTTTTATCAGTATTCTGGCTCTGTTATAAAATAACAAATACCTTAGCTATTTACTCTAGGGCTTTTTACATGATTTGAACAAATTTGTTAATTGTGCCCTTTGATGTCTTTTATATTTTTTCATTTTTCCCCAATCTGTTTTTCTCCCTGAAATAACTTAAAAATTAGTTTTAAAATCTGTGATTTTTACTGAGTCAATTTTCCTTACGATCTTTTATTTTTTTGTTTTACTATACCATATGCTTATTTTACTGGAGAATAACTTTCTTATTTTTAAAAGATGTTTAGTTTTTGCTATCGGGTGCATGCACTCACTGGAGAGAGACAGAGACAGAAAGGGAAAGTGAGAAATCACCCTTCAGGGAAAATGACCACACCCAAATCCCTTTTCCTCCATTTTCCTCTCAGGATTTTGGACATGTACACCCACACACCTGGCAGGATTTTCTTTCTTTGTTTGTTTGTAATTTTATTATTACTTACATTTAATCAATGTATATCATTACAGCATACACAATGGGGTTTTCCTGCATGAATATACTGTATGTTAGTCCTGTCAAAGTTATTACCATATACATTATTATCGGCAGATAATTTCCCATTTTTCCATCCCTTAAATGTTTTGATTCTTTCTTTTATCCCTTTGTTCCCTCTCTCTCACCCTCCTCCACTTCCTACCCTCTTCTCACACTGCCTCTGGTATCTACAGTGGTGGGATTTTCAAGCTGCTGGATCAGGGACTTTTTTTTTTTCTTTTTTTTGGAGAGATTTTCGCTCTAGGACGTATGCGCTCGCCAGACAGACAGAGAGAGACAGAGAGACAGAAAGCGAGAAATCCCCCCCCAGGGGGGATGGTCACACCACAATCCCTTCTCCTCCATTCTCCTCTCGGGATCTTGGGTACGCACGCACACGTGCCCAGCGTGAGTTCTAAGCCACCGGGTCAGGGACGTGAACCGCGGTCGACTACGTGGGAGTCCAGCAACATAGCCATTACGCCAACTGCTGGTTCCTGGGGTCAGGGACTCTTAAAGGTGGAATTGGCTATGTGGGATCAAACCATCTTAATTTCCATGCCACCTGCTGGTCTTTTTCTGGAGAATTTTTTAATAATCATGAAGACCAGCAGTTAGCATAATGCCTATGTCACTGGACTCCCATGTGGTCGACTGAGTTTCCAGTACTGGACCCAGTGGCTTAAACACATGCCGGGCACGTGTGCATGCATGCCCAAGATCCCGAGAGGAGAATGCAGGAGAAGGGATTGAGCCATGGCCATCCCCCCCTGGGGATGATTTCTTGCTTTCTGTCTCTGTCCTGGTGAATGCACACGCCCTGTAACAAAAACCTCTCAAAAAAAAAAAAAATCTTGATTATCATTATTAATCTTTTTACTTTAAAATCGAATTGGTTGAAATTAGTATGCTATGTCATTCAACACCTTTATTTTAAATTATCATTTGACTAATAAACATTTTTCAATTTTTTATTAGTATCATTCTTATATAATGGCTATAAATTACATATAACTTAGCTTTTTGCTTATCTAATCAGAAGATCTTTGGATTTCAGCTGATGAGTATACTCTATGTGTTTAAATTATATATATGTTTGGATTTATTTACATATCACAATGGTTTTGTGTTTCTGTGCTATTGCTTGGTTCTTTATCCTCTGTCTCAATCATTCTTTTATTAGATGATTAGAATTTCTTTTTGCTTTTTTTTATCTCTACCAAATTAAAAAGACAATTTGTTTATTATGTCTGACATAATGACAAAATACATCCCTGAGTTAGCAGGGTTTTACTGAGCAGGAGAGAACGGTAGAATGGCACCTCTACCGTATTATTGCTGTGTAGTATTTTAGTTACGTGTTGCCCCCAGCCTCCCTAAAGAAGTATTATTTTAATTATAAACATTAGGTTTTGCAAAAATTTCTATCCAGATTTACTCACATTTTCCTGATTTATTGCCTAACCATTTATTTTTGCTTCCTACTTTTTTCTTCTTAGATTTAATTTTCATCTTGATGAACTACACATTTTAGAAGGCCCTTCAGGATACAGGAAAGGTAAAGTTAGCATTTGCGTAAAAATATTTGTATTTTATTTTTGCTCTTGAAAGCTAGGTTTAACTGGGCATAGAAATATAAGTTCCCAGTGTAATACTTCAAAATCTTATTCAATTATCTGTACTTTCTATTTTGCTGATGAAATGTCTAACTGCCTAACTGTTTCCTTTGTGGTGATAACTATCTTTTCTATCTGATTACTTCTATGAGTTATGCAGCTTGTTCTTTCCTTTGATGTTTTACTATACTGCATCTTGTTTAACTCTTATTTTTGTTTATCCAGTTCAAGAATTATTATGATTCCTTATTGCAAAGATTCATAGTTGTTCATTATGTCTAAAAACTCTTAGCCATTGATCACTTGGTATGTATTGTTTTCATCCAATCTTTCCTTATTCTCTTCCTCTGAAGCTCCTGTTAGAGAAACGTTGGCTCTTCACCCAACTCTCCCTGATGCTAGTTGTTTTTCACATTTTTCATGGTGTTGTCTTGCTGGGTTATTATTTCCTGTAGCAATTTGCGAAGACTAATGTTTCTGTTCTAATTCGTTATTCAGTTCTATTCAAAATTATTTATTAAGTTGTGTGCAACATGATGTATAACCTATTGAGTATTTAATTTAATGATCCTATTTTCATTTTAAAAGTTCTTTTTGCTTTCCTTTCATAAATGTTATTTCTAAGATGCTGTTTTTATTATAAATGTGTTGCATTTTTGTTTTTTAACAATTAAGCACATTTCATTATTTCTCTCTACTTCTAGTTCTTGAAACCTTATTTCGAGTGTTTATCATTAATCAAATGCCCCTCCACAATAGCTTACTTTCTTGTAGGGTTTATAACTTCTCATGTTCTCTTTTAATCTGCAAGGGTATGTACATATGCACACATGTGTGCACCTGTGTATGTGCATGTGTGCACTGGGTGAAAAATACTCCTAGACAATTTATTTTCTGTGCTTAATAAGTCAGAACTCTAGGAAAGTTAGCTTCATTTGGGAACTAATATGCCAACTGTTCCCCTTCATTTGGCTAACCATAGGTTGGGCTTCCATTTCCCAAGGAATATTTTTTCCCTACTTATATTTTCAGGAACAAACTAAGGTCTTTGTCTCCTGCCTGAGCTAATGGATAGATTTTAATTTCCTTTTATACCTTGAGCAGCCCTTACTAGTTCTGGGCTTTATAGAAGCATCTGGATTACATACTGCTTTTTTAAATGTGCTGCAAATTGGGAACCTTGCCTCCTCTCCAACCTCTTCCATGGTCTCCCTAGCCCTGGAAATGAGACCCATGTCAGAATTCAGTTCCCATCTAGCCTCTCCTACCTCACATATCAGCCAGCATTTTTCTCTCTGACTTCAAGATGTCCCATTGTTTCTGGCACCTAAACATATTCTCTTGGTTTTTAGGTCCAATGTATATGAAAATGTATTTTGTTTCATATTACCACGCTCTGCTATGTCTCTAGCAGAAAGGTCGCTGCATATCTCAGTATGCCTTGTTCTGAGAACAGGAGTTAGACTTACTCTTCAAAAACCAGTTATTGTGAAACAAATATATACATGAAGAGTATAGTGTGTGTGTGTGTGTGTGTGTGTACGAGCACATGTGTGCACAAAGTGAATATCGGCGGGTAAAGAAAGAAAACATTAGTGCCGGCACTCTCGAAGTCCTGTGTGCACTCCCAGGGATATTGTCCAGCTTCCTCGGTAGAAATACAATCTGACTTTCGTGATACGCATCCTCTAGCTTTCTATGATAGTTTTACCAATTATATTAATGATGGGGCAAAAGCGTGTAGCTTGTCTTGATTCTCACTAAGTCGTTCTGTATGCAGCCCTGGGATTTACTTCATTTGATCCAGAGAATATTTTAGACCTTTGTGTATGTAAGGAGTCATATGGCAAACGTTTTCCTGAAGGAAAAATAGTGAACTTTTTTTTTTTTAATCTGTGCAGGCTACCTACATTTTCTGACACAAATTCTGTGTTTGTTTGTCTGTTTGTTTTGTAAGCCATAAATATCTAAGAAACCTTTTTGGCTAAGGGCTGTGTACAGATAGGTCCCTGTTGCATTTCTTTGGCCCATGGGCTGTGGTTTGCTGACTCTTGATCCATGTTACTGTAGACAGATATAGTTATTTATTTGTGTTGCTATACACCAGTCTACATTTATTCATCCTTTTTTTGTTTGTAGAGGTTTTTGCCTTAGGGCCTGTGCACTTATCAGAAAGAGACAGAGACAGTAAGAGGGAAAGTAAGAAACCACCCCCCAGGGGGGCTGGCCACACCACAACCCCTTATCTATTCTGCTCCTGGGATCTTGGGCATGCATACACATGTACTCAGTGTGAGTGGCAAGCCACCAAGTACTTGAGCCATGGTCAGCCATGTAAGAAGCCAGCACCATAATCACTATGCCATTTGCTGACCCCAGTCATCTGTTTTTTTCTTAATTGCCAGAAGGCAAGTGCACTGGCCAGAGAGAGACAGAAAGAGAGAGGGAGAGGGAGAGGGAGAAAGCACCCCCAATGGGTGTGGTCATGCTGCAATTCCTCCTTCTCCGTTTCTACATCCCATCAAGGTTTGGGACACATGCACATGCACCTGCCGTACTACATGTAGTCATCCTAACGATGATGCATATTTGAATTTCTTCCAGTTTACTTCTATTTCCTTCCTGCTAGCAAATACACTCATGCATATTTTCATATTTATACTTAGGGGCACAATTATTTAGTAGGCCTATATTTGACTTTTAAAAATATTGTCAAAATTTAAAACAATGTTGTTTATATTCCCAACAAATAGTATAATATTTTCTTTCACCATATATTATTCCTAGCCCTGTTAGTAACAGCAGGTTAGATTTCATCCATTTTTTTAGTATACAGTATTATCTCATGATTTTAATCAACATTGTATTGATTATTAGTGAAGCTGAATTTATTTTCAAATATCTATTGGTTATTTTGATTTACACTTTTGTAAAGTAACTTTTTGACTATTTTTTAAAATGTGTTATCTGTGCTTTCTTTCTTTTCTTTTTTTGTAGAAGTTCTTTGTACATTTTGGATAGTATTTCTCAACGAATTCGTTATGTGATACCACGTTTTCCTATGCTCTATGGCTAGCTTTTTGTTTTTATAAATGCTGCCTTCTGTTAAATGGAAGTGGCTCAATTTGCCCATCATTTCTTTTCAGGTTTTATTTACTAAATACCCATTTCTAGGTTACAAATATATTCTATGTATTTAAGATATTTATACTTTGCCTTTTATGTTTAGTTTATTGACCTACCTGAAGCTGATGTTTTGTGTATTGTGTAAAGCAAAAGTAAACTTTGTCCATGTGGAAACTCATGTTCTAAAACCATTACCAAAAAATGATAATCCTATCATATATTAAATTGTCATGCATCATGGCCCAGTGCCATCATTCTCTATTCTGTTCTGCTGCTATCGCAATCCAAATACAAAGCAATTTTTCTCATCTTAGTTTTATAATAAGACTTGAAATCTGGTAGAGCAAATTCTCTTGAATATGAACCTTTTTAATAATGTCTTTGCTTAGGGCCATTTTCACATTCTCTCTTTCTCTCTCTCTCTGTGTGTGTGTCTGTGTGTGTGTGTGTGTGTCGTGAGTGCACGTTCCCTGTAACAAATTAAATAATAATAATGATAGATAAAATTAATTGAATAAATATATATATTTTTTTAAGAGGTTTTTGCTATAGGGCCTGTGAGCTTGCCAGACAGAGAGAGACAGAGAGACAGAAAGCGAGAAATCTCCCCCCGGGGGGATGGTCATGCAGCAATCCCTTCTCCTTCATTCTCCTCTCGGGATCTTGGGGACGTGCTCACACGCACCGTACATGAGTTTTAAGTCATCGGGTATGGGACACGAACCGCGGTCGACTAAGTGGGAGTCCAACGACATAGCCATTACACTAACTGCTGGTCCCAAATAAATATATATTTTTAAAGAGTGCCTTTGCCTTCTTTACTTAACAATTGTGTTTCCATATTATTTTTTATAGTAAGTGCATACTCTAAAATAAAACAGCAACAGTAACTTCTGGGTTCTAGATTATGATTGCATTGCATCTTTTAAAATTAGGTCTTCAAAGCCATCAATAGTATGTAGTCCTTCCTCTAAGATTTTCATCTGTACTATCTCTCAGAAACACTTCATTCCTGAAATATTTTCATAGAAACTTTTTATTTCTATTTAGGTATTTTCTTCTCATTGGTACTATATATATATATATATATGTATGTATGTATGTGTATGTATATATAGTATGTTTTAAATTTTTCTTTTCCTAATTTTTTAAAAAATATACATTACATTTTATTTGGGGATCTTTCTGGAAATATTTTTTCTGGAATATCCTGTGACTACATAAAATTCTCTTATATAACTGCTTGTCTTTTTTTCTTGTATTATTATTATTACTTATACATTCAATCACTATACATCATTTAGATTGTAAAAAGACTTTATCCAGCATGATATACACCTCAGTCTAGACCAGTTGAGAATACTATACACATCATCATCCACAGGTAATAAACCATATCTGTGTCCTACAAATGCCTTACCTTTATTTTTGCCCCCAAATTTCCTTTCCTATTCTCTTCCCCTCCCACACTCTCCTTTCACTTTGTCTCTAGTGTCCCTAACAGTTTTCAATGCTTTTATGTCCTCCGGCTTTTCAATCTCTACCATAAAGTGCAGACAGTCAGCATATGTTAAATGGAGACATACAACGTCTCTCTTTCATAGCTCAATTTGCCTCACTCAGCAAGAAATCTTCCATATTCATCCACTTTCTGTCAAATGTAAGGGCTGAATAGTATTCCATGGAGTATATGTGCCACACTTTTTCAATCCATGCATCTGTTTGTGGACATTTGCATTGGGTCCATGTCCTAGCAATCGTGACTAGTGCTGCAATAAATATGGATGTGCAAATGTTTTTCTGACTGAGCATTGTCTTATCCTTTGAGTAGATAGCCAAGAGTGTGATCACATAGTATATTTGTACCACAATTTTCCAACCCAGTCATCAGTTTTTAGACACATAGGTTGATTCCATTTCTTAGTAATTGTGAATGAGGCTGCAGTGAACATGGAGGTGTAGGTCTCTTTCGGACTGTTTCTTATTCTTTGGGTAAATACTGAGGGGTGAGATTACGGTTTGTAGTGTATGATAGTTGCATTTTCAGGGTTTTTTTTTTTGTAGAGATTTTTACTATAGGGCGTGTGCACTCACCAGACAGACAGAGAGAGACATAGAGACAGAAAGCGAGAAATCACCCCCCAGGGGGGATGGTCACGCAGCAATCCCTTCTCCTCCATTCTCCTCTCAGGATCTTGGGCACGTACGCACACGCGCTCGGCGTGAGTTTTAAGCCACCAGGTCCAGGACGCGAACCGTGGTCGACTACGTGGGAGTCCAGCGACATAGCCATTACGCTAACTGCAGTTCCCCCATTTTCAGGTTTTTGAGGAACCTCCATACTGTTTCCCATAGAGGTTGCACTAATTTATATACCACCAAAAAGGTAAGAATTCTCTTTTCACCACAGCCTCGCCAGTACTTGCTATTCTTTTTTTTCGATTCTAGCCATTTTAACTGAGGTTAACTGGTATCCCCTTCCCACCCATTAGCAGCTGGAATGCTATTTTTAGTCTAAATCAAATCATACAAGTGTTCTTACTCTTATTCTGTTAGGTGACCTAAATGGCCCTGACTTACTGCCTTCTCTTGGCTTCCCCACGTTCAGCCACTCGGGCTCAGGCTCTTTAGTGGGACACTGCTGTGCCCAGGTCACACTGTAAGTCTTTTCCTTCTTCTAGTCCTCAGCAGGTGGCTTCACGTGTCTGACTGTCAGCCTCCCTTTTCTTGACCTGCTACCTCTCACCTCTGCCTCTAAACTCAGCTTTACTAGAACTTCCTCAGAGGTGCCGGCTCCGACCTGCCAGGCTGGAACACACCTCCCTGTTATTTTTTCTCACTGCACCCTGTAACCTTTTTCATTGCACTTGGTGCAGTGGATGTTTACAGGATGTTTTATTTCTAAAATGCCAGCCTCATTCAGCAAGGTAAGGGAACTTTGTTCCTCATGGTATATGCAGGGCCTGTCATATATTAGGTACTTCACACAGTCTTGTGCCAAGTGAATGTCAAAGCGAGTAAGAGCATAAAGATGGCGGACTTCAAAGCCAAGCGGCCTCCATAAACCGTGTTCCTGGGGAAGCACGTTCCTTCTACCGTGCTTACTTTCCAGCCTGCCAACCTGACCCTTCGCAATGGGCTGGGATGTGTTAAACCAGAAATCATTTTTATTCTTGTAGTTCTCGTGTCATATTTTATCCTGCAGACAGCCCTAGAGGAGCCTGTTGAACAATTTCCTGATTCTGAGACTCTGCAGCTGACGAAGTATAAATCACACCACAAAAGAGAGAAAAATCTCTTCAGGGTAAGATGATACTGAGCTACTTCAGATCAGCAAGCTGTGTGGGCCACGCTGTCGATACTACGAACTGTTGATAATAATAATTATAATAATAACGTTTGCATGTATTGGGCACCTAATGTATGTTAGTCATTTTACACATAATTTCAGTCATTTATTTTATTTCGTTCAGTTATTTCAACTAGGCAAAGTATTGCTGCTTTCAATGTTAATAGGTAAAAAGCAGGTAAAATAATATCATGTACCGGGACCAGCAGTTGGTATAGTGGCTATGTCACCGGACTCTCATGTAGTTGACCATGGCTCGAATCCTGGATCCAGTGGCTTAAACTCACGCCAGGCGTATGTGCATGTGTGCCCAAGCTCCCAAGAGGAGAATGGAGGAGAAGGGATTGTGGCGTGGCCATCTCCCTTGGGGGAGGGGTGGTTTCTCGCTTTCTGTCTCTCTGTCTCTCTCTCTCTGTCTTTCTCGAAAGCACACATGCCCTATAGCAAAAACCTCTCCAAAAAAAAAAGAAAAAGAAAAGAATATCATGTACTTACCTTCAGCAGATTCCATAGTAGGATTGGGATTTGAATCCAAAGTAATTTAATCCAAATATTTATCATTTTTTTTCTTTTTAATCACCAGAGGGCAAGTGGGCTCAGCAGAGAGAGAAAGCACCCCTCAATGGTGCATGGTCACACCACAATCTTTTCTTCTCCATCTCTTCCATCCTTCAGGATTTGGAGCACCCCACACACACTCCTAGCAAACTTTTCAAGCCACTGGGGCTGGGATTTAAACCATGGTCAGCCAGAAGAGTCCAGCTCACTTAACCATTGGGCAATGGGGCTGGCCCAAGTCATGACTCTTGACCTTAGGCCATGCTGCAGGTCTTAGTCCAGTAGTCTCACACCACATGATACATTCACATAATAGGAAAATAAAAATGTCTAACGCAGGAGAAACAATAAGCCTTTTATCACAGGCCTTGCCACTTCTGTGCTGAAAGGAATCCTGTCCAGAATTATGGGGAAAGGAAGGACCGTTTAATACCCTTTCCCTTCCTTCCCCTTCCTGTCCTTGGGGTCTGAAATCACATCTCCTGCAGCTTCACCTCTGAAAGCAACACGTTCTGTGTCCAAACAAGGGAACCTTGATGGATGGGCATTTGTCTGCTGAAGACTACTGAGGAAGACACCTGATGTTTATTTTCTCTTTCTAAGTGCCTGCTCTGAAGTCTGGGAATAAAAATGACCAGGCTTCTCTGAAATAATTTCATTAAATTGGCCCTTCCCTTCCTGAAGCAAAAGGCCCTGGGTGTGAGGAGCTGCCAGGCTGAGTCACTGATGAGCTCCTTCTGAAGGACGTGTGTGGTGGACGAGCACCTCTGTAGGCAGGGCCCCTTGATGTTTGTTTTGGATACTGTTTGCTCCAGAGACTTTGAAGAAAATATACCTGGGACTAAACACAGTAATGACCTGTTACAGTTTCTGGTTGACTCACTTCAGACGTGGGGACTGTGATTTTTGTTTCTTTTTTCATGTTGTAGTCTGAGTGATAAAGTAGTCAAATGTTTCTGCCTTACCAAGTTGTTCTTCTAAGTGGAGCAATGTCCCTCCTCCACTTACTCTTTGCCTTAGAGACTAAGGTGTGCTAACCTTTCAAAAATGCCATCACTCTCCGGAATGCAGTAATAGTGGCTGTGCAGGACACCCAGCTCCAATGAAACAACATGTCTGCCCTCCAAGCAGGGTGGAAAGCACTGATGTTTGTGTTTTGCCTCTTTTCATCAGAAGACTTGAGGCTGCTTACAGAAGCGCATGGGAAAATGTTGATTAGAATATAAGATGGAGTTTGTGGAGTTAGAAAACAGATCTAATCTAACTCTCATGAGGGGGAGGGGATGTGTCTTGGCTGAGGAAAACTTGAACTGAACAGAAGCCTTTTGTAACCCTTCTTCTTTGCTCCAGTTCTGTGTCCAAAGTCAGTGAGTCACTTTGATGACCTATGTGGGAAGGCACGGGGGTCCTGATCTTCCCAGACCTGGGCTGGAATGGCAGCACTATGGGGGTGACAGTGGCCGCTGGGAGTGTGTTCTTTCCTTGCAGTCAGGGGGACGCAGGGGACATGATGCCTTCAGTCAGCGCAGGTCTGGGGTCTTTCAGCAAACAGCTCCACTTATTCTCTTTCAGATCATATGCTTATAACTTCAAAAGAACATAGTAATTGCCTCTAAGAGTAATAGTCACTTTAAAATATATATATATATATATATATATATATATATATATATATATATATATATATATATATATATATATATATATATATATATATATATATATATATATATATATATATATATATATATTTTTGCCACAGAGCATGTGAGCTTGTGGGAGAGAGGCAGAGGGGGACAGAGAAGGAAAGTGAGAAATCACCCCCCAGGAGGAATAGCCACACCATAATCCCTTCTCCTTTACTCTCCTCTCCAGATTTTCGGCATGCATGTATACATGCTCAGTGTGCTTCTCAAGCCACCAGGTCCAGGGCTCGAACCTCAGAGTCGGCCATATAGGGTCCAGCACCTTAACCACCACACTACCTGCTGGCCCATAATCACAACCACTACTTTTTGAAGATCAGTTTTTATGTGCTGAATTCCTAAAATACTTAGGACGACCCAGTATCCACATGCTATAATCACTAATGTGTATAGTTATTTGCAAGAACAGTTCTATTCTTGGGACTAGCAGTTAGCGTAAAGGCTATGTAGTTGGACTCCCATGTAGTCGACCGCGATTCAAGTCCCGGACTTGATGGCTTAAACTCATGCCAGGTGCGTGTATGTGTGTGCCCAAGATCCTGAGAGGAGAATGGAGGAGAAGGGATTGTGGTGTGGCCATCCCCCCAGGGGGTGATTTCTCATTTTCTGTCTCTCTCTCTGTTTCCAGCGAGCGCACACGCCCTATAGCAAAAAGTTCTCAAAAAAAATTTAAAAAAAGAAAAGAACAGTTCTATTCTCCTATTTTTACAGAAGAGTTAGCTGGGCCGTAAAGAAGTGAAATGATTTTCTTAACCTTACACTACGAATAGATGGAAGAGTTCGGACTGCAACCCAAGGTCAGTCGCAGAGCCGACCCTCTCTCCGTCACTCCACACTGCCTGCTAGGAATCCGCCTCAGCAGACCCTGTGACAGATACCTCGGGGCAAAGGACTGCGTCTACTGCAGTGTTCTCCACGCCATCTAATAAAAAAGGGAAGGTGGGCATATGCGAAGCTTGTCAGACATAACCTACGGCAACAGCTGAGGAGCTTCAGACTGAGAACGAGGACTTGAAGGGGCGTTTGAGCACCGTGTTCATGGCAGCTTCGTCCCTCACAGTACTGCTCGCCTCGAGGACAAGAGAGAAAAACAACCCAGTGTCCACGGGCAGGTGAGTGGATTAAAAAGTGTAGTATTCACATACGATGGGATATTAGCCTTAGAAAGAGGAAATTCAGACACATACTACAACATGGATGAAATGGGAGGACTTCACGCTCGGAGAAATAAACCAGTCATAAAGAACAATACGGCCTTGTTTCCCGTACAGGGGGAGCTCAGGCAGTGACAGCCTCCAGCCGAGAGCAGGGTGGCGGCGGCCCGGGG